TCCAACAAGAGAAAATTGTGGTCTGCACACTATAAATAAGAGCTAGATACTCGTTTTTTCAACATGAGACAGAATCAAATGATATTTTCCCTCTTATGAAAATATTGTTAAAGGGGAAGTTGTGCTTGTGTTATTTCCTGTTATTACATTAAAACAGACTTCAGAAAGCCAGCTTAGGTTTTCGTCCAAACTCAGCAGGGTTCCTTCCCGCTGCACACCTGATCCCCATCAACCAATCACTCCCAGGAGCCACTCCCAGCCAGCACAGCTGTCTCACATTAGCTCATTAAGCGGTGCCGTATAGGCTGCACCCTCTTCCCACGCGTCTTTCTGAGTCGCCTTACACTTTTATTGGAGCAAACACACAATATACTGGGCCGCCAGGGCCCTTAATACAGCTGTCTGCTAAAGAATGGAGCGTTACTTGCATATTTTTGTGCTTCAGCTCTAAAGCTCTGTAAAACACTGGACACTATTTTAGGTGCACCTGTTCAACTGCTTTTTAATGCAAATATCTAACCAGCAAATTCCATAGCAGCAATTCAATACATTTAGGCATTTAGTTCAAACTGACCGGGGAAGAAGGGTGATTTAAGTGACTTTACTGTGGCATAATTGTTGGTGACAGATGGGCTAGTCTGAGTATTTCAGAAACTGTAGATCTGCTGGGATTTTCCACACACAAGCTTATATAAAGTTTATAAAGAATGGTCAGAAAAAGAGAAAATATTCATTGAGTGGCAGTTTTGTGAGAGAAAATGTACCAGTAGTAGGTCAGATGGCCAAACTGCTTTGAGGCAATAGGAAGACAACAGTGTGTCAACTTGCAGAGATTCATTCCCACATGGTATGCATGAGAGCACTTCTGAACCCATATATCAAAACCTGAAGCAGATTGGCTACAATAACAGAAGACCACACCAGGCGCCACTCCTTTTGGGAAACTGAGGCTACAGTTCACACAGGTTCACCATAACTGGACAATAGAAGATTCTAAAAACGGTGACTGATCTAGTGAGTCTCAATTTTTGCTGTGACATTCAGATAGTGGGGCCAGAATTTGTTGTAAATAATACAGAAGTGTAAGTCCATCCTTTCTTATATCAAGGGTTTAGGCAGCTGGTGGTGGTGGTGTAATCGTGTGGGCAATATTTTCTTGGCACACTTTTGCCCTTTCGTACTGAATAAGAATCTTTTAAACCCCACAGTCTACAGGAATATTCTCAGGGAGGCTGCAGTGCTCCAATCCTTTCAAACTGGTTTATTAAACTTGACAATGGATTTTCTATACTCAAACGGCCCCCACTATCACCCGTTCCAATAGGACATCTTTAAGATTTATTTCCAAGCTCCTTAGTTGAACAGGAGATTGCATCATGGATGTGCGGCCAACAAATCTGCAGCAACTGTATAATCCTATCATGTGATCCTATCACCAATGCTCTTATGGATACCTTGTGGGAATGAGTCTCTGCATGTTGACACACTGTTGTCTTCCTATTGGCTCAACGCAGTCTGGCCATCTGACCTACTACTTTCTAACTATTCTTTATAAACCTTGAATATGCTCATGTGTGGAAAATCCCAGCAAATCTACAGTTTCTGAAATACTCAAGACTACCCCATCTGTCATCAACAGGAATTTTTCCAGCACTTTCTTGAATCTGTGTCACAGAGCATTAATGGTGTTCTCAAGGGGAAAAGGCATCCAATTTAGGACTATCAAGGTGTACTTAATAAAGTGTCCTGTGAGTGTATTTCATACCCTAAGCCCCATACGCAACTAAAAAATGATATTAAAAGTAATAGTGTCTTTAGGGTCATTTGGTTTTCATTAAATTATTAATTAGTGTGTTTTCACACCTGTGGTGTTTAGACCATTTAAATCGAATCGTTTCGTTATCCCCCTTTTCCGGTTTGTGTGGATGTATAGTATACAGTACTGTACAGAATATCACACTCGGGTTTAGACCAAAACAACCACACCGAGACACATGTGTAGGTGGTCTCATGTGCAAATGTACTTGTGTTGTTCATTTAGGGTGTGAATGTGATCCAAGCCTAGATCCAAAACAAACCACCCACTTTACACTGCAAGTTTGAGCTAAAAAATTTACTGTAGCCATGTATACTTTGTATTCTGGGATGTGGCAAGGTATTATAGATGTGCAAAGGTCTGTACAGACTAGCAACTAGCTGTGAAATAAATGTAAATTCTCTGTGTTCTCCAATTTTTAATAGTTCTCCAATAGTCCCCCCAAGGACACATCTGGCCAATAAGTGAACTGAACACTCTCATGTTGTTTGTAGTGAAACATTTAGGTTCACTTGTAGTTCACTTACATTTTTTTCTGTGTGAAAACAAACCAAACCATAGTAAAAAAAAAAACTCAAATTCATCAACTGATATGGACCAGCATAAACAAACTACGGGTGTGAAAATGCCCCTGATTTCATGACAACACATAAGCACATCTTTTTGTTCTTTGACATTATGGGGAATTGTGACGTGAATTTAAATCCATTTTGGAATAACGCTCTAAAATGACAAAATGTGGAACAAATGAAGTGATGTGAATACTTTCTGGATGCACAAGCTCAACTACAAGTTTAACTTTTCTTTCCATTTTCTACTCATTTTATGTTTTAAGCATTTCAACTCTTTTTCTTTTTCCAGTCCTTTTTTTTGCTTTTACCCTTTTCTACTTTTTGCAGTGTGTTACTGACTTCACACTCAAAAAACCTGTAAAATTAAATTATTTAAAAATATTTAAATAAAAAAAACTTTAGGTTCATAATAGTTTTTGTTAATAGAATGTCTTTAGTATTTTTAATAAATATATTTGCAAATCGCTGCATTTCCAACTTGTGTATGTGAAAGAGTTTTAGGTGCATGACACTCTTACATTAACATCTCTGTAATAGTTATGGTCGCCGTGACACCCCCACCCCCACCCAAAAAAAAGGGAGGCTGAATGAAGAAAAACATGAGAAAAACATAAGAAACCAGACAAGTAAGTTTTGACAATTTCAGTGAAAAGTAGTTTTTACTGAGTGGAACAAATGGTAGACGACTCTGCAGATTGCCTCACATTACTGTTTGTCTCTTAGATTTATTGCCATGAATCTGGTATGCTATATTCTTCGTGGGTGCCACGGATATTTTTACAGTTTATTGTTCACAATCATTTCTTCAGCTGTTTGCTTTCCAGTTTTGGTGAGCCCGTATCCACTAAGCTTCAGGTTTCTGTCCTTACCTGATATGAATGGAGCCCAGTGTGAACCTTTGCTGTTGTAGCCTATCTGCGAGTGGTCACTATATTTTTCACATGCTTTGCTTTTTCTCTCCATCTTGGTTCTGCCATACCTTTTCTATACGCTTCATACACTGTTAAACTAAATCACATCGACACAGTATGTGATGGTTGACACTGTGAGAGGTGAGTGTTTGTGGACGGCGCACCTGAGGACGTGTGGACTGGGTCAGTGTGTCCAGCATTCGCTCCACAATCATGTCGTGCCACAATAGCGCCAGTCCTCCATGATACTGCACAGCAGTGGGAATCAGCCATCTGTACAGAGCATACAGAAGAGCTGCTCCACCTGTGCAGCTGTAGAATAGAGTCAGCCACATGCTGCAACCAGATTGTAAAAATATCAGTTCAGTGCAGGTATGGTGTATAGTGCTATATTATGGAAAAGGACAATGATAAATGAACCCCAGACGCAGTGCAATAACGGCAAATCTGCATGAGACAAATGAAAGCTCCTCTCCTGTCTCCTCTCGCCCTACCTTTCCCTTTGTGTTGGGTTAATGAGATGGGTATTTATGCAGTGTACAGTTGCTGCTTCACTATCAGCTGCTGTTACCGCTGCTGCCATGTCCAAGATGAACACCCACACGAAACTCAATATGATGATATCTCTCAAGGATATCAACTCCAATAAACAGTTGAAAGCACACCACACAGTGCTTTGTGTGGACCTTCCTCCTCTCAGGAGCAATTAGTCTGTTTAGATTTCTCCAGCACAGATAAATGGGTAAGAAAAGGGTGTGTGTGGGGAGGGGGAGCACAGCCAGAATTCTAAACAAAAGCTGCTTCTGTGGGAAAGCAGTGAAAAGCATGGCTGGAAACAACTCTACCTTGCACTAATAATACAACTGTGGGAGACCATTGGCTGTTGAGGTAATTCCTTTTGATTTGGAGTTTTAGTTGCATGGCAACTGGCCGGGGGTTAAGAGCTGTGTCACAAAAGGCAGAGCTTTGGGACTTTAACCTTTACTTACTTTACTTTGCTTCTTCTGAACATACAGGAACAGGTGCAGAAAATAAAATGGAATTTTAGAAAGGCTGCATAAACACACACATGCATGTTTATCATTGTGCAGATGAACAGCTGCATGAAGTTGCATGCTTTTCCTACTATCTACCTGAATTCAAACTCCACTGGAACAAAAACAGAGAAGGCACAACAAAACTGGTAAAAAGGGAATTTGTGAAATGCTTTTTTGGTTTTGCATGGCTGAAATCCGCGTCAGTTACAGGAATTACCATTGATGTCCCACAGTTTCACAACACTATTTCACAATACTATTTCGCAAACTCTTCAGTCCATAATATGAATTCAAACCAGACTGAGCAGTGGTTTTTCTTTAGCAACTGCAGGACTAATTCTTCTTAGGAAAAAAAACCCGGTTGCATTCTTAAAATCTTACTTTTTATTACAATCCCAGGGAACAGAAGAATAGAAGACTTACGTGTGCAGGCAGGCTCGCTCTCAGCTCTCTTCTCGCTTCCCCTGCCGCTAGAGGAAAATCTGCTGGTTTCCTAACAGGCGGACATATGCCTACGTTTACATGAGGCTAACTCCTCCCTCCTCTTCCATCCACCCTCCTACTCAGAGCTGTGCTGTGAGCATGCAAGGAATGTACAGCAGACCTAATCTCAACAGTCAGCACACTCACACTTGCTCAGTCTTGACAAAAACAGGGCGCACTGTTTGTTGTGCATAGCATTTCATCATTTATTAGGGTTAAATATGTGTGTTGATTAAATCACCTTTATCATTTGTAGGTGTTTGCCCTGATATTCTTAGTGGGTAATTATCCTATTTACATTTCATAATTTTAATTTGATACTTGAGCTGTGTGAAGACACCCCTTCTACACCTCAGACCTAAGTGGGATTTATAAGCTAGCAGAGGGAGCATTTGTTGTCTACTCTGGTTCAGGGACTGCCCATCTGCCTGCAGAGAGCTCTGTTGCCAGATGGAGGCAGTATACAAATATGTGGTACAACTGGTCTGTGGGTCGCTCATGTTGTTGTTTTTCCATCAACCAGCCACAGAGAAAAGCAAAGTTACAACATAGAAAGAGGTGAAGTGAAACAGAGTAGTAAAAGCAATGAAACATGTCCACTGTAGCCACTCTCTGTGCTTTTCATTACGCATTTTTTTTTATCTTTGAAGTTTTTATCTCCTGTTCCTGGTGAACTCTGCTGTTGCTCCCTTCTCTTTTCCAGCCCACTTGTCAACCAATCAGCATTCAGCAGATGCTTACATCATCTGCATCCAGCGACATGCAGTTAGGATCTTGGAGGACTGCACTGGAGCACATCTGGGGTGGGTGAAAACCCTTCTCCCCCCTCTGCCCAAATGGAAATGTGTACGCAGATGGACATATTTGCGGGATAATAAATCCTGCTTTACACTGTTGCCATTTCAATACTTGGGTATAAAGAAGGGGAGGTCTTCATTTGCTTTTTTAGAAGAAAAAATAAAACAAATCTTCTGTTCTGTTATCAAAACTTAAGGATATTGTACGCTTGGTTTGAGGCACTTTTCTTGTAGGACAAAATTGTACTTTGGTCATTGCCTAACTTAGACAGCTAACAAAAGACCAAACAACCCAAGTCAGGCTAATAAACATTATCAAAAGCTGTGCTCATGATGCCAGCACCAGGCTACACCCACCGCTGACCAAATCCCATCACAGAGATAGTTCACTGGGCTCTAAATGTCACAAAGCCAGTGTGTCTAGAAGGCAATCCAGGGGTGAGTTAGACACTGGGCAGCTGTGGCTCTTTTCTCTGGCAGCAGTTCCAACATTGTCAAGAGAAAGGAACTGAACTGTAAAGCTTCCTCCCGTGACCACTCATATTTGTCCAGCAAGATCTCAAACAGGCCCCATGGTTTCAGCTTTGAGATGTGTCGCAGATGTCCTGGAGACAAGGAAAACGGACCAGAACACTTTTAGGAAGGAAAAGATGAACTGCGTAAGAGAATTAAAAAGAGAGTTAATTAAATAGGTAAAACTTTCTGTGTCAAACTACAATAAAAAACAAACAAAGTGATCGCACAATGACACAAAATTACCCTTAGAGTTGAAATATCGTTTAGAATTTCTCCCTGAGAGGGCAAACTCTGATGGAAGAGGTCCTAGTAGCTCAATGATGTGGGCAATGTGATCTGAAAGGACATGAGTACACACCGTACTATAAGCACATAAATCAAGGACAAGAGAAATTTGTGTACACCACAAACCTTCCTCGCGGGAAAATGTGGCTCCTGACTGTGGGTCGAACAAATAGTCCCCTGTGGCCAATTCAAAAGCCTACACAGAGAGGGACAAAAATAAAAATGGTTGTAGTGAATCTATGAATGTCAATGAGATGTGTGACCTTCATTTCTTTCTTCTTTTTTTATTTTGTTTTTACACTTATATCCAGGTACTTAGCTCACCATGCAGGCAGTGCTCCAGATGTCAGCGGGTGTGCCATAGTCAGCACCAATCAGGACCTCCACAGAACGATACTGACACGTCTGGATGTCTTCGGTAAAGTGTTTGTGCTGGCAACAAGATAGATGAGCTGCATACAAGGCTGCACAAAATCTCTCTATGTTAAATTAAAAACCTGTGACCCTTAATCTATATGCACATGGTTGTGTAAGCCAGCGGTCCCCAACCCCTGGGCCCGGTCCGTGAGTCGTTTGGCACCGGGCCACAAGAGTTGAGGCTCGGGTGTGAAATGTATGGTTTTCAGGGTTTTTTATCGGTTTTTAGCATGACTTTGTTATCGTTTTTAATCGTTAACTCTGTTTCCTGGGTCTTTTCACGTGTGTTATGAATAAACCGGTACTGGTTTTATTTTGTTGTATTTATCCGCGACACCTTGAAGGCCGGTCCGTGAAAATATTGTTGGGCATAAACCGGTCCGTGGCGCAAAAAAGGTTGGGGACCGCTGGTGTAAGCCACTGTTATGATGATGACGACAGACCAGATTATTTCAATAATTATGATAAATAACTATTCTTAGGAACAACTGGAATTTAACATATTAGCATGCTAACATTTACTGACTGGCATTAAACACAGAGTGAAACTGAGGTTGATGAGCATGTCTTTATTATTTTATTTTGTTATAAACATAACTTTATCCAATAATAGGAGTAAAAGTTCATGAATGACCCAAGTTATTAGAGTTCGTTCAAAGGGTAGTGAGGTTTTAGTACGTCCAGAGTTTGCGTACAGTGCCATACGTACAGCCAGGGTGGGATTTGCTTTGGAGATTTGGTGATTTACCCTCTACTCTGGTCTATATGTTCGTCACTCTAATATATTATTATTACCTTCCCACCACAACCTTCCTGTATAGGGTTATGATGGGGTGATAGAGAGAAACAGCCGCATTCCTGAGTGATTAAATCAATCCTAACCTGATCGTCATCTGTTTTGTCACAAGTTAGAATCGGTGATCAACGATGCTGTACAGAATGTTAGCCATTTTCACACATTAATTAACTCACAGTCAATTGCCAATCTCAGTAAATGTAAGGGAGCTGCCCCCATCCGTGTACAAAGATTTGCAGATGTGCATAAAGGAGGGGTGATTTTAATCTACTATAGTGGAAATTTTTTCTTTTTCAACATTTTGTGCTGTTGAATTTTGAGAACTTTTCATCTTAAAGTCAAATGGCACAGCTACTAAAATAGTTCTAAGTTGCTGTGTCTGAAGAAGAAGACCTGAAACTGAGAATATTGGACATGTTGATTTCTGTGTTCAGGGTGGGACTAATCCTGGTTCGTGCCCTTTGGATCCATGCACCTGCAAGTGATCAGCTCACCTGTTCCTGTTCCTGACTTTCTCTAACATTCACCCTAAACTTTGACAGTTTTGTTTGTTTGTGCTGTAAATAAACTTGTTAAAACAATCCGCCTGAAGCCCTGACAAATATCATTTAAAAAATAGTCTTGTGACACTGCGGCTATATGTTTATATTCAGAACCCTTAAAGATTATAATTATTCTATAGACATTTCATTGACAGCAGGGATAAATACCATAATAGGCTACAGAATAATTTTTCATTTTTCTTGCATGCTTTTAAAATGTTACCATAGAAAACAGCATCTTGATCTGTTTTTCTGACTCGGACAAATAAAATGGAAACCATCAGTTGTAATGAACTGCACAAGATTGCTACATACGCCTCTCTTAAGCTACATGTCAGCCCACACAGTCTCACAAGCGACATATGGCAGCTGTGTTTTCACCACAGGGCACTGTAAATATGGCTATCATGCCGTGCACCTGCTGCATTGTATCATAATGATGACTTAGAAGCATTTTTAATGCACTCGTGTGGCCATTTATGAAACAGAGTGCAGTTTACTTCAAAGTTCTGAGTGTGTTTTGATTAAATGTGGGAATAATACTATAATATCAAATACTTAAAGGTTTAATAAAGCCAGAATCCTGAAGCACAAAGCCCTGGGCAGTTGCAGCTGAATTTATGGTATGACATAGACCAACTCAACTCTAAACTCCGAAAGGCAACAACCGTGTGATCTGGAATTCAGATATTCTCTAGAAATCAAAAACAAACAGAAACATATTCCCTAATAAAAATAAATTCACTCACCACCCAGCAGGCATTGCCTAGATCAGCAATCTTGATGAGGATTTTGTCAGCATTGTGAGGCTTCAGTAGGTCCAGAATAACATCTGAGTCACTGGTGCCTTAAGTACATAAAACAACATGACAGCTAAGAAAGTACTTTTACTGCTTACGATCCATGTAGCCTTTCAGTTTATGTAAACACACAGCCCAAAGTACAGATTTGAGCCAAAATGCAAGTTTCCACAGAAAGAGGAACAAACTGTTGGCTTTAGAGTTACTTTCCCTCCAAGAAATCTTCTTAGACTCACCTTGTGGACATGATGGTGAAGGTAGCAGAGAATCTCTGTCTGCAGTTTGATGTAATAACAATGATCTGGATCCAGAGACAGCAGCATCTGTGCTGAGGTCTGGACACGAGCAGAAGGAGTCTCTGAGGCTGTGTGCAGCTAAATTCAATCTGTCTTCCAACAGCAGAGTCTGTCTTCTTACAGTGATGTTAGAACCTGTTAGCTTAGAGTGACAAGTGGAGCCATGGGTGCTAGAGGTAGCACCGACAGAAACGGACACATCAGGCTTGCCTCGTCGGCTTCTGTCTTTCCTCGTCAGTCGCTTAATTGGACTTCTGGAAATCCTGCTGGACTGTAGGGCACAGTCATACGTGGAAAACAATCAGCAGAGAGCATGGACCGAAGAAATTAATAAGAAATGTGCTTAGTGATTTATCACAAATCTATGCCTGCTTTGTGATATCCAGCAAAAATGCAGAATAATGCAACTACAAGTGATGTTTCATATTCTATTAGTACTTAAGTGCACAGACAACAGTGGATGTATTTAGCATTGTTTTTATATTTCATACCTCAGCAGTGAATCATAAAGTTTTCAAATGATTTAGAGCAGGTTGCTGACAACAAGCTATGGTGAAACCACAACAGCGGCTATTGGAAGGACATCAAAATAACCAGTTGTGTCTGCTTACTGTTTCAGCATTGCTTAGTGCCCAGTCCTGATAGTCACAGTAAGTTGCCTACTGTAGAATATATACCATAAGTAATACACCATAGGAGCTGTACTCTCTAAATACATGATAACCTGCTCTTTACTTGTCTGTACTCCACTGCAGTGCATATATTGCAAACGCCTCTTTCCAGTGTCTCTTTAGGATGAGAAAGGAAGAAAAATACAGTAGAATGAACACATATAACGTGCTCTCCAATCTCTGCCCAAACTCTCTGTAAAAGTTACACACACCTGAGTGGGTAGTAAGAAAAAAATGCTGCAATATGAATGCCATAATTATTGATTATATGAATGTTACAAATGCAAAAAAACAGGCAGAGCATATTTTCTGACTGAGGTGAAGAGGCCACAACTGCTCAGCAACTCAGCAACTGCTGATAAAAATCAAGTATGAACAGTAACTTTTCCCATATCCACTCACTGTGGATAGAAGTCTCAGTGTAGTGTGCTTGTACAGAAGACCGGTTGTTACACAGTTTGACAAAGATGAAGGAGCTTATAGGATGCATCAGTATAAAAGCAAAACACCAACTCCATCTTACCCACTCCCCAAGAGTGTGGAAAACCCCAGTCAGCTTTCCGAGTAACTTGGGCGCACTCTAAGTAAATCAAAGTATAAAAGTAAAGGTCATAATACAATCAGAGCTGAATAAAAATGTATTAATAAGATAATAATATCAGAGGAATATATTTCATATTGCACACCTGTTTTTCTCTGGAAACTGTGTTCACTGGCAAATGGAAAAACATCAGGAGGGGGAAAAGGCACAAATGTGGTTAAGGTACTTCCCGAGACACCATATAACTGAGTCATATGTAGGCTAATTATTAGCACAGCATCGCTAACCTGAGGTGCTGGTGAATACAGGAGACCTGGGCATCTGCCACAGCTTGGTGTCGGCCGCGAGCTTTTGAACATAAACCTCATCCACTCTCAGAAGGATGTTTTCTGGCTTGATGTCTGTGTGAATGATCTTGCATTTAGTGTGCAAGTAATCTAAACCCTGAAGAACCTGTGAGAAGGAACCGTAATCAGATCACTGACATAGGCAAAGACAGAACATCTTCTGTTTACAGAAAAACCTCAAATAGTGGTCATAGACAGGGGACCATTTCAAAGGTTGGAATAAAGGATTGCACAAAACCTGTCTGAGGATGCTCTTAACGCAGGGAAGAGGGAGGCCTGTGTAGTTCGATTTGATGATCCACCTCAGCAGCTGGTGCCCAAGAACCTCCAGAACCATGCACACATCTGTTGAGCAATTAAGGACCTGCTTTTATACCACAGAACCTGAATATTACACCCTGGGTATTTAGAAGAAGCCAGAATACACTTACAAGATCTGCACCACTCAATGAAATACTACAAGTTGCGGAGCAGATAATTGTGATCGACCATCTTTATAAAGGATACGCTCTCCATTCACTCCAGTCACCCTGAAGTCATCAATGAGCTGGACTATGCTGTCTCGTTTAGGATCTTTGGGGTCGCTGTCTCTTACCTGATGATTAAACAAGTACGTATTGAACAAAAATAAATAAAAATGAAGAGGACACATGATTTCATAGCATGGTGACATTATTGTGACTCCACAGTGATGTACATAAAATAGCAAAATGATCGCAGAAAACCTTTGCAGTTCATTGCACCACTAAACACGCTGATTACTCAGACTTCTGCTCGTGGCCAGACTAAGCCTAACCCTAAGCCAGTTCTGTTACACGAGTGTTTTAAGAGCACTCCAAAATGACTTGAATCTGACAGCAATGTGACCACACTGACGCATTTCAGAAGTTTGATCTCATCCAGTGCCGTCTCTGTGAATGTTTGAGCACTCTTCACCACCTTCAGAGCCACAAATTGCCCTTTCCTGCATGCAAACAATTATGTCAGTGAGTTACTGGATCATATTGATAATTGTTGTGTAAAAAGTCAAGTGGACCAAACCTGTACTTACACCATATCCCAGCAGAGCCACACAGTAGAGAAATGACCCCATCCCAACTTTTTAACAACTTGGTAACGGTCAACATAAATGTCTCCAATCTCTACAGGGTAGTAACCACCTGCAATGAAATACGCAGCAGATGTGAAAATTGAAGATCTCAACCAGGGGAGCTGGATTTCAGGGTCGGTGTCTTACCTACCTATGCAATAGTCAGCAGGATTCTCCTGTTGCTCATCGTAAAATCCCTGAGGCTCAGGTGAAACAGCATTCCTCTGTACAGTTTGAGGGCAGCGGTGATCCTGGCTAGGCTTACGAGTCCGTGCTGTGTTAGAAGTGGCGTGGGTCCTGGTTTTGATGGGTGGATTATAAGAGTTTGTTGTAATCAGCGCTGCTATCGTAGCAGCATACGATGAGGACATGTTTATCTGGAGCCTGATGAACTCGAGCCCAGCTGGAGGAGGGTCAAGAAGACAGCAGCACTCAGGAAGCTTATAACAAAAATGTATCTGCATACGTTCAAGAAGGAAGGAGGTCCTAAATCATTTCCCGCATGTGTAAAGCAAGAGTTCACTGGCTTGGAGTCTGGCAGCTGGTTTGTATTGTTAGCTACTGAGTGCAGTAGGTTGCTGCAATGACATTTTAAAAGAGCCAGTGAATGCGTATGATTATTTTTAGCTGGATGAATGGCATGTCAACGTAAATAGCTCGTGACACCAGCCAGCTGCAACTGAAATCTTACTGATATTGCATGAACTGCTGCAGTGCAGGAGCCACTGCTGTAAACAAGCAATGGCAAACTAGTCCATTTTACTTCACATTTGTACCACAGTTACAGCGCTTCAGTTTCGGCAAGACAGTAAAACAACTAGACACATACATGCAGGCTAGACTGCTCTCGTGGCATTCAACAAATAGCTGAACGTTGTGTGTGTGGTTATAAAAGTTTTAATTGGTGGCTGACACAAGAGGAAATTTCTAAAAGTCACTTTAAAAATTACTTTTTTTTTATTTTACCTTTTTTAGCAACGAATGAAAAAAAATTCATCGGCTCACTGACAGGAAAGGAGCTTTAAACAGAGAGGGGAAAACAGCCCTTTGGCTTGCTTCCTCTTTATGCTGCCTAGCTAAAGATTCTTCTGCAGTGTGTGACATTCACATATGTCTTTTGTAAGGTATTTTGTATTGTACATATGATAAATTTGCCATTTCTTCCTCGAAAAGACTTATTCCGAAAGGGCTTTTTTTTTTCCCCCGTGGGAGACGTCGAGAGTACATCAACTCGGAAACCGTTATCCCTCTCTAAATACCCAGCCACGTTCAAGGAAGAAGCAACTTACCGTTGTGTGCAATGTATCCACTTTTAGTATTTGTAACGCGGGAAATGAACGAGCCTGACACGAGGACATTCTCAGCCCGCTCTCCTCTGTGCGACTGGAAAAACACACTCAGGTCCAGGAATAGCAGCCTGCCGCTCCTGCTACCAGGGGCGCATCCGGATTTTTTTCATAGGGGTGGCACACCAGAAACACAATTTCCAGTTTTATTATGTTGTTGTCAAATATAGATGACTTGAAAAATATGTCAAAAAAGAGAGAAAGAAAATAATTATATGCCTAGTTAATCTGCTGATATTAAAGTTGATATTACTGAAAATAGGTACAAATGAAAACCAAATAACATTTTGAAATCCATACTAATGTGTTACAACTATTGATTGAATGACTGGAAGTCCCAACCATTGCTTTAATGATTCATAAGCAGAGTCGAGAAGAAGCTTAAGACTCTGAGAGAGTGCTCCTGCCTGCATGTAGCAGACATGCATTTCTGACAATATTATTGCTATCTAGCGACTAGCTCGATTTACAGAGGTGGTAAGGAGCTTGTCTTCTTATTTCTTTGTATTCAACTTTTCAACAAATTTTCATTTTGAGAAGAATGCTACTCAGTATGTTCCTGTAAAAAAAAAAAAAAAAAAACACAAACAAAAAAAAAACGCAGTAAAAAGTAACTGGTGATTACATGCATTGGAGCAACAGGAAATGTAAAAAAAAAATAAAAAAAAATGGATATTGCGCTTATGTCTGTGAAGGTTCTCAGTCATCCAGGTCATCGTAGTCAAAGGAGCTTGCAAAGAAAAGCGTCTGGACTTCTTTAAGTTGCTTGAAGACGTTTCACCTCTCATCCGAGAAGCTTCTTCAGTTCTAATGTCAAATGGTGGAGAGTCCCAGATATAAACCTAGTGGGGGGATACTCCCACTAGGTTTATATCTGGGACTCTCCACCATTTGACTTTGCGCTTGTGCTGTGCAACACTGCAAATATATATATATTTTTTTTTTTCTATTTATTTTTAAAAGTAAATACAGGACCAGTATTTACCAGTACTGCAGATACTTTAACCTATAAATCAGAATCAGAATACTTTATTGATCCCTGGGGGAAATTATTTTGCATTATTATATGCAAAAGGCAGCTTTTGTAGGGGAGAGCAGTGCGCCATGATTTTGAACATATTTTAATGACCACTAAATTGTTGTGATTTTTACTTTCTGCAATACTTCATTAAAACAACAAAATCCTCCTTTCATCTTTATTTTAAACTAGGGTTTTGTTTTGTTTTTAGACATTAAATGTAAATGTGCCTCCAAAGCATTTTGGGTCAGTTTTCATTTTTCACAGTGAATGTGTGTATATTTTTTCCATTTCCAAAAAGATAATTTAAGACATTTCAGTGTACTTGGAAAATAGGAAATCCTATCACACTAGCACTAATCAATTACCAAGAACTGCACTGGTGTTGAGGTTATACCATTTTGATAAATCCACTTATCTCTTCATTATATACTCTGGTTAATAGTTTAGAAGTGGTAGGTTTAGCACAGAGTACAACCACAGGTCATTTTCAGCACAACTTTGCTGCATATAGTACAAACACATTTGAATTTTGATTTCAACATGACACTTTATTTAGATCTCATACATACAGAACAGAGCAGGCCTTGTTTAGCCTAACTTCATAGGCCTGGTTATAAAGAGAGAAGAAAAGAGAAAACAGCTGCACTTAAATATCTTTTCTTTTTTAAGAAATAAAGAAAATATAAAGTATAACCAAATATTAAACATATCACACAGCTTAATGAAATTTTAAACATACATTACTAATTCCTGCACTGATGAGAAAGGGCTACAGTAGATGGCTACAAAACGTTATAGGTTCATAAATATAATATAGTTTGAATACATTTGCTTTAGAGCTAAATTTATATTATTTCTTTTGAACTTAGAGTACATTATATGAAAAATACCTTTATGACCCCCAGTGCACAGCAGTTTGGTCTTTGATTTCAGTCTTTAACAAGCTGGAAGGAGCTCTATGAAGCAGGAAACAGAGGATGTGAACCCATCAGACAGGCGTAGACACGAGGTTCATGTTCCACAGTGTGCTACAGTTTGTAACTGAGCAAAAACATCACAAGCACACACAAAAGAAAACTACATTCAGATGAGTCTGAAGATCAAATACAGAAAAAAAAGGCAAAATCATATTAAAACCATGAAAGAAACATGCTATGTTGTTACAACAATACAAATATTTTCAGTTTACTTCTTCTGGTTTCTGTAGTGTACATTGCAAAATGCTACCCAGGCTGATTGTGAAAACAATGTAATAATGCTACTGATATACAAAGATACATGACACAATGTTAAAAAAAATATTTAAAAGAAAGCAAACATGTCAAACAGATTCCTTACAAATACAAACAGCATGTATTCTCACAAAGACATTTACTGGTATGAGACCTGCTCACACCACCATTCAGTACTGCAGCGGCCCTATTCTGGTCACATGGTCATCCTCAATTTTTTATAACCAATTAAATAGTTCTCACTTGGGGGGGAAGTGGGGTTGAAGGAGTAGGGCAGGTTATTTTGATTATACTTATTATGCGGTTAGTTCGTAAAATTACATTGTTAGTATGGGAATAGAACATTAGCTTGAGACTCATCAGTACAAGCCACTATGTACAGACCACCACCCAGACCTTCAACAGATGTTTGAAGACCAAAAAGAAAAGAAAAACCTTCTTATTGACTGTTATCTATCTTGGTGACAATTTCACAGGGGTTAAGGCTTAAGATGTTCATAAAGTGCTCTGTATGACAATCAAATCCTCCGCAAGTGAATGCAGAAAAAAAAACTAATTTGATACGAGTTATTTCTTGTCACACAGTCAAGTGCTACTGCCATACAGAAGGTCTCACTACAGCCCTAAGGTTTGTCCTAAACTGATCTAAGGTCAGCACAGAGAAGGCTACATTTATCAACCAGCACTGAGCTGAAACCCCCAAAACACCAAAATACAAATGACATCATTCCAAATACCCAAACTGAGTCACACTGTGATACGCTTTAGTCTGATTTTTAAAAACTAAATCTCACACAGTCTTAATACTAGCAACTTTAAAGTTTTTCTAACCAAGGTTTAGTTTTGATATTAAACATTTAGGCACTCCTGTCTGCTACACCATTACGCTACAGTTCATGGCCCACTTCACTTTTATCAAATATGAAAAATACAAATGGCTGTGACGTTAACGGCAGATGAGGACTGAAGCATGTTTCTGCGGTTTATATAATTTACAAACACACGTTCACTGGCATGTAATACGTCTCAAATGATGTGAGCTCATAACATCTTTGAATATAACATGGTTAATGAGCAATAAATTACCTCTTTAATATAACAGTTCTTTATATCTCAGAAGATACAAAATAGTACTTTACAGCTGTATATATTCTGTAAAAAAGTATATCTCGGCAGACTTTTCAGGATTTCAGGAAAGGATCTTGCCGTTCGCGTTGGACCAGAAATATTTATATGTGAAGTAGAGTATGATCATATTGGTATTAGATGCTCTGCAAGTCAGCACCCGTGTACAGCCACAAAACACTGGGGTTGACATTGATATTGGCAAAAATCAGGTATAACACAGGGAGCTTGCCCAGGCTTTTTCCAACTTTACAGCTACAGTTTGTCATTTACTTCAGTCTCTTTCTGCTGAGGTGGTCATGTTTTTCAATGCTGCTGAGGTCACATTATAACCAACTTGTGTGTGGAATTAAACTGATCAAAAGAAATAAAGCGAACACTTGAACAATTTATAACATTGATTTTTGTTGTCATTTTGAATCCAGCCTTCAGAAGGCTTTCCAACTATATTGTTCCATTATTTTGTTCTCAACAAATTACACAGTGTGTGTCATAAAGACTTTCAGTTTGAATATTTAATTCATCGAGATACAGCATGTGATTTAAGTGTTCCCTTAATTTTTGGAGTAGTATATCGGAGTCCATGTGAAGCTACACTGTTTTTGCGTATGTAGTGCATTGATGTGTGCATGAGTGCTGCTGCTGCTTCAGACCAAGGTGCCTGGGTCAGCACTGGGCTCCTTTGGAGTCACCTCTTGCATCTGTGGATCAGATGTCTCCTGATAGAGAGAGAACTCCATCGACCTGTGGGGGGAGGTAAAACAAGTCAATATTGCACTCCCAAAAAAATAAAAAATAAGAGAGGAAACAAATAAACACCACAAGAAGCATGCAGTAAAACCACTAAGAAATTAATTTTCTTAGGGCCCACAAAAAAAGGGGGAAAAAGTGTGCAAGACTATAACAGAGCTTGGAGAGGCCCATCCTTGGAAGCAATCAGGAACAACAAAGAGTGTTGGCATGACGCTGCCAGCAGCAGGCGATAATGCTGACCAAGCCCAAAAAAATAAATAATAAAAAGAAAATAACACAGTGTCAGTTGTAAAAGAGGATGATAGATGGATTGGCTGAGGGGCAGAGTGAGTGTAACAGCACCAGCATCTGTTGGAAGCATTGCTGCCAACATCTAAGAAGACAGACAAATCATCTGTAACACACAGATTTCAGTAATGCATCCATGCTGTACATAACCTTAAAATCCAAGCATGAAAACAACTGTGTCTTTAGGAAAAGTGCAAGGTTTTCTGAGTATAAACATCAGCTAGTGAATCACATTTAAAAAAAAATACTGACCTTCCATGGAGAGGGTGGCCATGGAAGCTGGCTGACTGGGGTATCTGAGGCCTTTGGAGGTTAGTTGGTTCACCTTGAACAGACTGGGCCTGGTGCACCAGTGGGTGTGGGTGTGAAAGACGAGAGATCCCTGCCTCGTGACCCTTTGGGGCAGCAGTAGGATAGCCAAGAGCATTCCTTAGGTACCAGTCTCTAAGGCCCTCCAGAGCCAGGGCTTTATGCAGGCTTCTTGTTGAGTCTTCTGGAGTAGGAAGAGAAAACTGTGGGGGTCTGCGGTTGAAGGAGGGACCAGACAAATCAGTCTGGTAAGGGTGCAGGTTGGGAATGGATGATGTGGTGGTTCCAGAAACAGGAAGGGGGGACTCGTACGCTGATAGTAGAATTGCATCTTGGGGATGTT